TATGCGTTAATCTCTGCGAACCAAAAGATCAAAAGGATGAGTCAGGTACGAATGATTAGGACTTCGAGCGCGACACGTTTGGTACAAACAGCGCCTCGATATTATGAACAAGTGATGACACAATTAGCAATGCAAATTGTTGGGCCGCGCTAAGCTTGACAATGTGGAAGTATTATTCCGCGTTGATAATAGCATTTTATCATCTCTTTGGCAGTGCCACAATCGTTCGGCAGTATCAAACGATATGCTGTGCGCCGGCTGTTATTTGCCTCGCGACATCCATTTCGGAGTAATTAATTGTATTCCCTAATTAGCGTCGCGCATTCTCTGAATTGTTCCGCGCGCTCGATGCTCTCCGGAGGGTCACTTCGGTCAACGGCGTTACGTCGGCCGCTATAATCAGCTTTGACGCGCTCGCTCGCTCCCCCGCGTTGCCTACTTTCTCGCCGAATTTTCGCGAAATGCGTCCGGAATCGAGAAAGAAGAGGAGGAGGTGGTGATGGAGGTGGTGGAAGAGAAACGCCGTATCGCGCGACACTATAGGTGCGTGTTCCTCCGTGGAAAAAAAAAATAAAAGAGAAGACCCCGCTAAAATTAGACTCGCGCGGAAACGCCGCTCAGACAGGACGCGTATTTTTAGCGTTTTAACAGACCAGAGAGCCGATCAATCGCGCGTGTCATACGATGTCGCATCGCGGGGTAATTTTCCGCTTCAATCTCGCACTTTTGGTTTGCAGCTTTTTGAACGCAATCCGCGACTCGTCGCTCATAACTTAACCGTGCGCGCCGGCAGTCCGATAATTTCTATCCGTTTTCATCCGTCTCTTTCCGCGGAAATATAAATCCGTCGATCCGCGCGGCAATTGTGCTCCTCCGCGTGTCAGATTGACGTCGAATTTTGGATCGCGTCCCGCGTGATCCATGACGAGGTATACAGAGCAGTGTCGGAGTGTTTGACTACGGTCTGAGCATTGATGTGAAAAGTAAAGGTCATACACAAGCCGATCTCATGCAGCGCACATGTCCAAAATACATCCTAGAGACGTTCCAGAGATATTAGACATCTCTGGGACGTCTCTGCGATGTATTTTGAATATTTGCGTTATATGGAATGTAAGGTAAAAATATCAATGTCTGAAGACATTGATGAAAAAATGTCTAAAAAAATAGGCATCTAACTCTAGACATTTTTATTGGTCCTTAAATACGAATACTTTTTAGTTTTAGTCTTTAAATACGAATGTTTAAATTTTCAACATGAAAACATATATATATATATATATATATATATATATATATATATATATATATTGAGTATATCCCAATAGTCTGGTACACGTGAATTTTACAATAACTTTGAATATATTAAATCACAAAATTCAGCAACGTTGAGTTCTTTATGGCTGATGAGATTGCACTCATATTTATCACATTTTATCGCATAGCGATCATAGCATGACCCACTTGGCGCTGCAAATGCTTTGAAATGCCGTATAGACCAATCGTAATTTTCCTTCTATAGATCCATATAACACTATACATCCACACTATAGATCCACTTAAAGATACAAACTTAAAGATACAAACGCTTTGGGGCGTTTGTATCTTCAAGTGGATCTATAAAACGACGAAATAGAAATATGAAATACAAAATAGTAAAAATGTCTAGAACTAGATGTTATTAGCGTTGAGACTAATCTAGTTCTGGTATTCTCTCCTAGCTTAGCACGATAAATGTTCAAATTAATCGAAACGCACTCTTGAAAGCTATAATCGGAAGATTCGAGTTGCGAAACCGCCGTACAGATATTGATTCGCGACGCCGCACCATTGAACACAAAAACACGATGCACGCTCGGCGAGCTTTTAATCGTCCTATATCCATTTTACGCGTCGCGTCGCGTCGCGTCGCGTCGCGTAGCTGCAGTGCCGGGGATAATTCGATTTTTCCCGGCGCAAAAAGGAGACGCTCGCCGGGCGGAATTGCTTGTTGCCGGACGCGCGCGCACGCGCGATTGTTGTCCACGGCGCGGATCGCATATTGGAGCTGGAAAATTCGCGCGGACAATCATCGGACAATCGACGTGCGAAATTAGCTCTTTAATCGCGCAGGTGATATCCCCGCGGCGGCCGTCCAAAGAGAAACGTTTAATCCGCGCCGCGCATAAATTACTTTCCGAAATAGAAACGATCAATGTGGTGAATCTCTCTTTCTCTCTCTCTTTCTCTATCTTTCTCGCGTCGCGCGATCATCGACAAAGCTGTCGGTCGTTCCCAAATGCCAACAACATCTGCATAATGCGCGTCGCAGAAACGTCGAGGCGTCTACGCGATGTCTCTGTCGATTTTGATCGTGTGTCTGTGGCGCGAATAAATATGAAACACGAATTTCAATGCGCGTGCCGTATCGTTATATCAGTCCTTGCTTCATGAATCTCTGATTAGTCGTCTATCTGCACTTGTTTCAAGAAGCATTGATCCCGACAGCTGAATAGCGATTCATGAATATGAATTTCTGTGATTAATTGTACTTGATTGAAGATAATTTGTACTTCATAATATGTACTTGATTGAAGGTTGCGAATTTAAAATTATGAATTCAGCCTTAATCTATGAGTCCTTTTGTTGTCAGGGTTGTTTCGTAAATTTCAAAGTTGTCCATGGGGATTATTTGCGCATTATCTACGTGATATATATATTTGTTCATCATATTATATAGTTATTATGTAACATAATTATAAATACAATTATTACATAATATATTATATAACTATATATATATATATTCATATAGTTTATATATAATATATTATATAATAAAGTTATATATATAGTTTGTTACCTACATATAGATATAGACTCAGCAAACACAGAATATAACTATTATATAACATAGAAATAACACATAATATAACGGATGTTATACGTTATTAATATTAAAGTTACATAATTTTCTTTTATAACTGCGTTTTAGAACTATTATAATTCTCTGTTATTTACAGGTTATTATTTTATAACACCAACATAACTGAAATATAACAGGTTATATAACAAGCGTTTACTTACATTACATTTATGTTATATAGCATTCTTATATCTAAATATCGGATCATTCACTAGATGGCTTTCGTTTTCTCGCGTCTTTCTTGTACGTAAAATATGATGCATTAATACATATAAGAACGATGATCACAAGGCGGCACAACTTGTACTATGGAGTTCACTTTTATAGTAAAGTGAAGTGGTACACCTTTTGATCAATGGAAATTACTGTTACAATAGTAATCCCTTCCATTTGAATATGTACAGAGAGATAGAAATGAATAAATAAAAATAGCTCTAATAGTGTAAAATGACTGAGGACATGCTGGGACACTGTCTAGAACGTCTAGAAGCATACTTTTACAAATTAATTAATATTTGAGTGATAGGTTGTAATCTCTCTCTACACAAACAATTAAATATCTATAATGCTGGAAATTAATAATTTATATTCCAACTATA